GTATACTAAAAGTCTAGTGTGTCTTCAGATGTTGTGATTGTTGCACACCAGGGCTATGTCTACACTCGCGTCTTCTTGCGCGAGTAATATGCAAATGAGGCTAAGCGTTGAATATCGCCAAGCCTCATTTGCATAACTAATGAGCAGCCATTTTGTGGAAGAGGTTCTTGCGCAAGACGGAGCTGTCTACACTGCCCCTTCTTGCGCAAGAAAAACCCTCTTGCGCAATGCCGTTCTTCCTCTCAAGTAATAGGTGTAACGGCATTGCACAAGAGGGTTTTTCTTGCGCAAGAAGGGGCAGTATAGACAGCTCCGTCTTGCGCAAGAGCCTCTTCCGCAAAAATGGCGGCTCATTAGTTATGCAAATGAGGCTCGGCGATATTCAACGCTTAGCCTCATTTGCATATTACTCTTGCAAGAAGATGTGAGTGTAGACATAGCCCAGGTGAAACAGTCTGCTGAAACCAGATTCTGTGCTGAATCTCAACATCTATGTCTGTCCTCTGTGAGAGATGGCAAAGTGTTCTACATTTTCCAGTTCTTCTTTATCCATGTAGATCTTCCCTTCTGGGTCGGACAATTGACTGGAGACTAACTGGTGGAGAACTTTTGTTTTGTAAGCTTCAGAGAAGCAATTAAGGGCTGCTGGTAGATACTCCTTGGAGCGTATGTCTACAACACGGCCGAGTTTTTTCGGAAAAACGGCAGTTTTACCAAAAAAAACTTCACTTACGTCCACACTGCAATCACATTCTTTTGGGAAAAAAAATCGAAAGAACAAAGGGGTTTTTTGGACATTGGTAAACCTCTTTCTACGAGGGAGAAGCCTTTTTCTAAAAGAGCTCTTTCGGAAAAAGGCGTGTGTGGATGGGGAAGAGGGAGTTCTTTCAAAAAAGAGGAAAGAGGAAAAAGCACAGGTGCCCTGGTGGCCACTCTGTCCATAGTAATCACAGCTTAAAAACAAGATAGCGTCCATTCAGTGTGGACGCTATCTTTCAAAAAAGCAGATCGCTTTTTCAATGCACTTTGGCAGTGTGGACACACTTTTTTGGAAGAAGTTTTTTCGGAAGATCTCTTCCGGAGAAGCTTCTTCCAAAAGAAGCCTGCAGTCTAGATGTAGCCGGAGTGTGCAACTACAGCATAATCATCTGTGTACTGGAGTTTGGTTATTGTTGCTGATATTTCTTTAGTTGTAGCATGGAGAGGAGAAAGAACGAAGAGTTTGCCATCAGTGCGATACTGAATGCCAATGCCCAGTGGCAGACAGTCTTGGATTAACGTTTTCATAAGTGCTAAGAAAATGGAGAAAAGGCTGGGTGCCAGCACACAGCCTTGTTTTACACCTGTTCGGATGACAAAGTGCTCAGAGGTAGAGCCGCTGCACAAGGTAGAGGCAGTCATCTGGTCATGGACAAGTCTTATGTAAAGGGATGGAGGGAATGGTCCAGCTGTCGAGGGGAACTTTCCTGGCTTCTACACTACCCTGGTGATATGGGCTGGTGAAAGAATCTGAGTCCCAGCTCCCACTTCCTTTAGCCAGATGCCTTCCTGACCTCAAGGGCTCCCCTTCCACTCTCCTGTGAGGCAGGGTCCTTGTAAACCCAACAAGGCTGAGCCCAGAATTCCTGGGCCTCAACCCCTAACCTTGTCATGGTCACCTAGGGCAGGTCACCTAGGGCAGGTCATGACATTTCCCTGACCCACTGATGATTGCAGACAGTACAAGGCAAATACTACGTATTAAAGAGACGCCAATTACAATAAAATAAGAAACCAACGGGAAAAGTTAATGGGAAACCTATCACTCTGCTCTGTGTCACAGGGACTTCACAAACAGTGTCGCTGGACTATAAGGATAGTTCACAATCTGTTCCTTGTAGGTCCCAGGCCGCCTTCTCAGGCCCTGGCTGGGCTGCAGGGATGCTGCAGGTCAGATACTTACTCTGAGTGACAGGACCCTTCTCCTGAGTGTTAGACCCTCCCCCCCCAAGCAGGGCCTGCAAGGCTTCTTGGCAGGGGGAGTATCCCTGTGCTGGGCCTTTACTCAGGGTCCCCCCTTGTTCTCCCCTGCTGCTCACTGCACCCACCTCCAACTTGCTCCAGCCTCAGCTCCACTCTCTGCTGTGCTGCCTCCAGCTCCCAGGCTGCTTCTCTGGCCCCTCTGGCTCTGTGGCTACAGCTTTGCCCCCCACATGGATTTACTCTCTGTACTGTGTGGCAGGCTCTGTGGCTGTAGCTTTCTTCCCAGCAAGGATCTGCTACTGGGTTGTGTCTCTGTCTCTCTTTGGCGCACATGGCTCTCCTCCCCAACTCAGCACTGGCCCCTGCTCTCTCCTGAGGTTGGCCCCACTCTGTCTGACCCAGGTAAATCCAGCTCACATGCAGGACAGCACCCCTTGGCCTCCTGTCTAGCTTGCCCAGCCCCTCAATTAGGGTGACCTGGAGAGCTGGCCTCTTCCCATTGTTCCTAGGCTCCCAGTCTCAGGGTCCTGATTTCTCATCTGCCCTTCCCCTTCCTTTTAGTACTGGGGGACTACCCAGCTAAACCCCCCCACTGAGTTTTAGTAAAGAGCCAACAATCTCCTTACACTTTTAATAGTGATAAATTTGCTTGGATAGCAAAACTTTGACATGGTTTTCCACAGAGCCTCATAGTGGACAGAGTAAAAGGCTTTGGTCAGATTGATAAAGACCATACTGAGCTCCTGGTGTTCTTGACATTTTTCCTGGATCTGTCTGGCTACAAAAATCATATCGGTGGTGCCCCGTGGTGCCACACAGGGACTCTGAAATACTTCCTCTGCAAGAGAGAGCAGGCGATTCAGTAAGCTTGTAGAAGGCATCTTCCCAGTGATGGAGAGAAGGGCAATGCCTCAATAGAGCCCAGGGTGGCAACTATCTCCAGGTTTGAAAATGGTGATGATGTTAGCATTGCATAAGTCAGCAGGGGTTTCTTTGGTGCACCAGATTTTAGTCAATGTTTCTACACACACGCACGCACGCACATCCTGGTGCTTTATGGTTATTAATTTGACAGTTTTATCAAGATCAGTGTAGAAGGATTCTTTCTGTTCTTCTTCAGCGTCAAGTGTTGGTGCATATGTACTGTATTGACCAACTGAATGAGAAGAGTCATAAGGTGCTCGTTGATCGCAATAGGCCAGGCATGTCCAAAGTCCGGCCCGCGGGCCAATTGCGGCCCGTGTTCCGGTTTAATACGGCCCCACAGGTAATTTGGCAATATCTATCTTTTATGGCCCCCAACGAATCCATATGTATTGAGATGAATACATTGTAAAATCTCAGTTAATGTCAGTTGGTCTAAATCAGTTATAAATATATTTGGACACAACATGTATACTTGGTGTTATGTTCCTGTTCATATTTTTTGAACTTAAAAGTTGACAGACAACCTTTATTACCAATAATATGTAATGTACTTTACAATGTTCCTGACATATATTTCAGCTTCCTGGATTTTTTTTTCATCTGGCCTTCAGATATGAAAGGCAGAATGATTTAACACCTGTTTAGATTTGTCATCCATGTGACGAAATGAAAAGTATGCCGTTTGCAATAAACTTTGCATAAAATAATTAATTTGCATTTAATTTTAATGGTTCAAAGAATGTCAGGCAAAATGGTCGGCCCTCACGCATGTTCACTTCATAAAATCTGGCCCTCTTTGAAAAAAGTTTGGACACCCCTGCAATAGGCCATCTAGGCAGTTGACTAGAAGGTTCTTTCAAAGCAAACACCAGGTAGTCACCTGTCACTTGCTGGTTTTCCTTTCCAAAAGAAAAAACCACCGTCCTCTTCTCTCAAGTGGCCTTCGTCTGCACATCTTGTTTTGCTGCGAGCTGCAATGTCAATGTTGTACCTTGAGAGTTCTCAGGCAACCATTGCTGTTCTGCATTTGGATCTTTCGCTTTCAGATTCGTCTAGTAGGGCACGGACATTTTAAGTTGCAAGAAACATTTTTGGTTTTTGACCACACTGGGAGTGATCTTGCTGGATGCAGTTATCCAGTCAGGTATGGCGGGATAGCCTATGTGTGGGGTACCTTGTCTAGCCCTTTCCCTCATCCTTTCCTGTATGGGGTGAGTAGAGGGATTTCTAAAAAGGCCTACTCAGTCATGCCTGCTGCTACCCACAATGACCCTTTATCTCAGTCCAGAGGTACATGATAACCATCTTGCAGTCATCACTTGCATCAGAGTCCGTGACTCCTGATGATCCTATCACCTGTCCCCTTCAGCAGCGGCGGATATAGGGCAGGGTGAGCGGGGCGGCTGCCCCGGGCCCCGCGCTTCAATAGGCCCTGCGCCAGCGCTGGTGTTTTTAGATGACATCACATCTCTCACCCACTTCCCTGGGGAGCCAGCCTCCCGCCACCTTTGTGCTAGGTTAAGAGCAAAGCTGAAGCGCAGAGACAGCCCCCGGGGTCAGCCGCCTCTTTCTCTCTCACAGCCTCAGGCTCCCCTCCCAGGTTGCCAGTTCAACTCGCAAGAGAGCGCGAGGGGGCGCCCTGCCCCAGCCCGGCCACGGCTGAGCCTGTGGAGCGAGCACACCTTGTGGCGGCACTTTCCCCTCTGCTCCGCCGGGCAAACTTCTCCCAACTTCACTTCTCCCGGCCATATTTTGCCCCAAAAAAGGCAGGCGGGTGGTATCCCTCCGCCGTACTGTCAGCCGACGGTCAGGGCTCCCTATATCTGTCCCTTAAGACCGGCTGAAGTTCTTTCAAATTGTGCTTGGTTCTATTACAGCAACTGAAGGAGTCAGGTTAAAACTTAAACAGTTACAGGTTTATTAAAGAAGCTTATAAATCATATGGTTGCAATGGCTATTGTTCTATTTCTTAACTACTAGCAAAATATAGATCTTAAAAATGGTTACAAAGAAGATAAAGATAGAAAAATAGAAATAATGGTACCAAGTAACAGCTTACTCTTTCTATGTGTACACTTAAGACAGAGGACCACATCCAGGTACAATTTTTACCCCCTTCTGTGCCTCTCGACTCCAGCATGTCAGGCCAGGGCCGGTCCCTCAATTCCTAGGAAAGACGAAAATACGAGGTGGGCGTCCCCATAGAACCTCGGGAGGTCAAACACCTAACCCGACCAGCAGGTAGAGGGTAGAATGACACTCAAAGTGAGTGTGTGCTGGACCTATCTTTTATACTCATGGGGTCACGTATTTCTCTTTCTTGTCTGTCATGCCAAATGGGGCTGGTCTGTCTTTTGTGAGACCAGTTCTTACAAGGGAGTTGTGAACTTAATTTACACTTGTAAGAGAGATAACTAAATTGGAATTACTGGGGATTCTTTTCTCAGTGGGAAATTCCTCTTCCAGGGACTGTGTGTGTGTTCGAATCAACATAGGTGCCAGCCGGGCACTCTCGCATATCCTGATCTCTCATCAAAGCAGATCAAAGCTTAATGGCTATGCTGATCTTCTTATTGTTCCTTCTCTGCTCTGTATACAGACATCTCAGAGGGCAAGCAAGATTGTTTGAGATGGGGGGAGGGGCTGCCTGGCTACACGTACTCTAACCTCGCCGGGCTAATGGACAACCTGGAGAGAGGGCCTGTCCTGGGGCAGGCCTGCTGAGAGCCCCTGTTAGGTTAGCTTTGCTCTAGCAAGGGTTTCCTTCCCTGTTCCAGGGGCGGATGCTTGTTCAAGCCCGCCTAGGATAACAAGATATGAGGGTCAAAACGGCGGCCTGGCTACTCTGTTTCAGCCAAAATTACAATATAATTAAATGAAAATTTGTAATTATTAATGCAGAATTTTGTTTAACAATGAATTACAATATAATTAAAATAAAAATTATCCAACTAAATTAAGTTTATCAAATGTATCCAATTCACATTTAGTATGAAAATAGCCTTCAATCTGCGCATTTGATGCTTTTTTCTATTTTTTCTCCAAAGGGGGCCCCGCAAAATTGTGCTGCCCTGGGCCCCGCAAAACTCTCATCCGCCCCTGCCCTTCAGCACTCACCCGTCTCCACACAACTTTATTGGTAGGGGTGGGAGGAAAGTTCTTCCTGGGAAAAAGCCTGCACACAAGTAGTTTAATGTGGGGGGAGCTGTTGTGCACCAGCAGCTACACAAATATAGCCAGAAGAGGCACCTGTGTCCGGTGGCAAGGAGACCAGGGGGTTCTCCTCCATTGCAGTCTTTGTTGAGAAGTAATCCTGCTATTCAGATCTTATATTGGGTTGTGTTGAAGACTTCCCATCCAAGACTTCCCATCCTGTGAATGTGTCATGCTGACAAGCAGAACTGAACCTGGGACTTCTGAAGCTTAGTGCATGAACTTCTATCTCTTGAGTTAAAAGTCAGCTGGCTCTCAGCTAAGGCTGTAGAGCAAACTCATTCTTTCTCTCTGTAAGTGGTCTCAGTGTCACTACATGGGGCAATGAACCACACCCAGAAGGTCCAGGTAAATTCTTGGGACGGGGTTCCATGTCTATACAGTAACTAGCACAATGGAGCCCTGATATATACAGTGTCTAATAATACAGTATCTGTAGGCACTACTGTAATATAAACAATAGCAAAAATGTGACGTTAGCACATATTTTAAATTATTTTGCCCTCCAAAAAAGTTTCAAGTTGTTTTGTAAAGGCAGATTAAATAAGGGCTATCAGTTTTTGCATTCTTCAGCTTAGCAACAGCATTTCTGGTTGGTTGTATGATTTAGGAGACTCTTAGTAGATAGGGAAAGTAGACAAGAATATGCAGTCTTTCAGCCTTACCAACAAAAAAGCTAAATTCAAGTGCTGTTTCTACTTGGATGTTTCAGATCTCTTGAATTCAAAGAATGACATTTCTTAAACTAAATATATTCCATGTGGCATCTATCAGAGTCACTCTTTTTACATCCACTTAGGTAAAAGGCCTCACCAGATTTCAACCCTTTATAAGACACTCTTCTAGGCTGGCTATGACCTGTATTCAGGAGGAAATATTTTGCCTGGGAGGAAGCTACTGTTTTTTGTTGATCAGTTGGTGCCCTCTAGTGAAAGATGAATGTTAAAGAAAATTGGATTTCCAATCAAGTACTATATCCCCAAGACAAGGTTGATAACAGTGAAGTACCAGGTACAGTTCTTACAACAAAGAGCTTATTAAATGGCGTCAGAATGAAAAAGCTATACTGGACTTAAGAGACTCACCTTTTCCCCACAAGCCAAGTAATCTCTGGGAACAGACATCTTCCTGTAAAAAGGCAACAACCATACCTCTCCATAAAATTAGCTCTAACTAAGAACTCTTCGGGTTTGTCTACACTACCACCCTAGTTCGAACTAGGGTGGTAATGTAGGCAACCAGAGTTGCAAATGAAGCCTGGGATTTGAATTTCCTGGGCTTCATTTGCATTAAGCTGGGCGCCGCCATTTTTAAATGTCCGCTAGTGCGGACTCCGTGCCGCACGGCTACACGCGGCACGGACTAGGTAGTTCGGACTAGGCTTCCTAGTCCGAACTACCGTTACTCCCGACACGGACTAGGCTTTCACGAGGAGTAATGGTAGTTCGGAATAGGAAGCCTAGTCCGAACTACCTAGTCCGTGTCGCGTGTAGCCGCGCGGCACGGAGTCCGCACTAGCGGACATTTAAAAATGGCGGCGCCCGGCTTTATGCAAATGAAGCCCGGGAAATTCAAATCCCGGGCTTCATTTGCAACTCCGGTTGCCTATATTACCACCCTAGTTCGAACAAGGGTGGTAGTGTAGACATACCCTTTGGTAGTAACTTGCACAAAACAAAGCCTCAGCTTCTTCCAGACCTTGAGAAAAAAAGATTTTCCCCACTTTGCAACTAGTTACTTTATGGAACTAAGATGAGAGGGACAGAACTAGGGCTAGTTGTAGGGTTTGTGTTTATAATCTTTTAGATCAGATTTTGCTTTTGGAGAACCAATGCTAGAGGTGGCGATGACTTTTTAATCTGCTAACGTTTTGGGTGGGACCAGAACTTGGATAAATTAGTCTGGTTTTGCCCCATCAGTGAGTTTAAAAAAGAGATTTGCAAAATCAGGAATGCTTTTGGCTTAGCAAACTCTCAGCAATCATATTTTGATTTGGGGATTTTTTTGGAATAAAAAAAAAGAATGGTTCCTCTCCACATCCCAGGCTATGTCTAGACTGCAGGCTTCTTTTGGAAGAAGCTTTTCTGGAAGAGATCTTCCGAAAAAACTTCTTCCAAAAGAGAGCATCCACACTGCTTTGTCGAAGCACTTTTCCAATCTGCTTTTTCAACAGATAGCATCCGTTCAGTGTGGATGCTATTTCACATTTAAGCTGTGATTACTATTAACAGTGGCCACCAGGAACCTGTGCTTTTTCCTCTTCTTTTGAAAGAACTCCCTCTTCCCCGTCCACACACACCTTTTTCCAAAAGAGCTCTTTCAGAAAAAAGGCTTCTTCCTCATAGAATGAGGATTACCATTGTCGGAAAAAAAAAAAACCTCTGTTCTTTCAATTTTTTTCAAAAGAACACAATTGCAATGTGGACGTAAGTGAAGTTTTTTTCAGAAAAATTGCAGTTTTTCTGAAAAAAAACTCTGCGGTGTAGACATATCCCTATTTTCTCTGCGCCTTAACTGTTTACAGGCAGGAAGATGTCTGAATAAATTATGATAGTTTTGTCCCATCTTTGCCTCAGCATACCTATGGTACTCTGTGTACATGTTATAAATGTTTAAAATACTTGACACAAGTGACTGCATCATCTATACAGGACTATGGATTTTGTGAGAGCATTTACCCCAAAGACAAAAAAATCTCGGTACATAATTCTGTCCCTTTAGAACTGAAAGTAACATTTCTAACTAGCAACTGGCTTTATACAACCATAAGGCCTAATGGGGCAACATAGTGAGATTGGACCTTCACTGATATCAAAGGGAAATTCTATAACATAATTTTAGGACCAAAACCTTTTCACTCCCCAAAAGCCTGAATGGAATGACCCTATGTGAGGAGGATTCACCATAGTAACTGCCGTGCACACAGACTGAACATATTGTGGCAGGCAGAGATGCAAAAATTCCCTTGTTCTGCCTCTGTGCGGCCTCACCCCTCACTGATGGTTGGGGTTGTTGGTTTTTTTTTTGTTTGGTTGGTTTTTTTTTTGGGGGGGGGGTTGGTTTTGTGAACCTATGAAAGATTGGGCTGGAGAACCATACATTTCCTCTAAAGAAATTCCCTGCCACAAATACAGAACTAGCCCTCTCTCTGGCCCTTTATTTTAAACATAGGTACATAGTTAGCATATTTCCCACAACAGGAAACACAAGAATTAAGTCAAGAATGTCAGGCCCCTGATTTATTTCCTTCTGTCTGTGGACAACTGCTACCAAAAGCAACAAAACAACTTTTTACCTCTTTCCGCTAGGCTCTTTATACTTGCTGCTGCACTTGCACTGGGATGCTAACTCTGCCTGCAATCTGTTACAAGTGCAGGACCAGTGCTTCCTCCTGTGGGTATCCAGAACCTCTCAGGATCAGGCCCTGAATAACAAGAATATAAGTAAGTACAGATTTGCTTTCCTACATGGTCAATATTAGTTTTTACTTATGTTATTACTTGTAGTACCATGGAGTTCCATAATGTGGCATTAAAAAGATGCATAATTCCATCACAGTGCAGGCCACAACATATCTAAAAAGCGATAATCTTCTGTTATCACACAACTGCCAATCATTTGTAATCTAGTCATGAAAAATAAATTACCCAGATATGATCCGGATCACCCCCCAATTACCCGTGACTTAATCTGAAATTAGTAGGAGTTGTGGGTGGCTCCATACCTCTCTGTCTCAGTTTTTCCTATGGTCCTTACTGAGGACTAGCCACATTTAGGGTTGCCAACTTTCCCAGTTGGACAGACTGGATAACATTTGCAATAATAGTGGCTGGTCAGGGAGAGCTGGCAACTCCAGCCACAGTCAAAGTTTGAAGTCTTAAAATTCATCTGAATTTTATTTATTTGTGCCCCAAAAGTCTTGTTTTTTAAAAAAAAAACATGCAAAATATTTTCCCCATTCACCCACAACAGCTCAACAGCTATATCTCCAAATTTAAAAAACAAGTTACCTTTGGCCAAGTCCACTTTTAAACACATTGGCAAGTTCATTGCATTCCCCTCCAGCAGCTTGTCTGCACAGAAGACAATGGTAGAGAGAGATCTGTGCTTTGGTGCATAAGGTCCTGCAAGAGAAAAGGGAAGAGCAGAAAGGTACTTCACCTTCCCCACACTGAATTTTTTATTCTCAGGAGTACTGGTTAATTAGATAGTTACTCACTGAGGGGAAAATGGAGGCAAGTTAGTGGTGCTCATTGCCTTGTGTTTGTAATCTTTGCAATGATTGACTACTAAGGTTAATCACTTACTCAGAGCAACAGACATTTAGTCTATTAATAATGTGGGAAACACATTTCTTGCTTCTTGTTTTTCTCTGCCTGATTGACCACATAAAGTAGAAACTGGGTGCAAGGGGACCTGTTCGGAGCAATAGTTAAAGGGCCAAATTCTACTCTCAAATTTTGTTAAATGTATAAAATGAACTCACTATAAAGCCTTCAGGTGCTGCAGGCATAAAAGGCGAAAGGAAAATATAATTAAAGGAACAGATGGTTTCTTAAAATAGCTTGCATACCAACTGGTGTTCCCTGCCCTCGTTTAAAAACAGCTAATGTGCTGGAGTGAGTGTAACACAGAGCAGAATTTGTCCTGTTATGTTTTACGTTGCTGAAACGGACTGGTGGAATGTCTAGGTTTCTGACCTATATAGATTTTACAGTACTATTGGGTTTGAATTTACTGTGCATGTCAAACACTGCTCTATGTGATATATAGGTTAAGGGGCTTGGTTTTATTTGGCTACTGCTGGTTCCTCATGTAGCTTTAACAGGCCAAGCCCTTTTGTAAGTTATTTTTGGTGTTTAGGAGCTTCCCGTTTTCTCACAATTGCCTCACTTTTCTTCCTTAAACCCTGTCTTAGTCATATAGACATAGGGCCAAATTCTGTTCCCAATTATGTAACTGGGTGGCATGGCAGACTTTGTCCAGAGGTGGCAGCAGTCCACTCTGTATCTGAAACTGCCCACTTTTCCCTGTTCCCCTTTTACCTCCTTCAAACACAAGTTCTGCAATATTTCCAGCTCTGCTCAGTATTAGTCATCAACATGCTCTGTGCACCGCAGCATCAGCACATGACTCTTGGATAAAAATATACATGGGGCCTTATTAAATATGGTGGGAAACCTTGCCACTATCTGAAGCTAGTCCTTCTGTGGGATTTCGTGCTTGGCAACTTAAGTAGCTTTCCCCAACCAAAAAAAAAAAAAAAAGCACAAATTAAGCAAATGGGCCATTCCCCAGAGTCTTAGGTAGAGACTGGGGGCAAAAGAAATCCTTTCTCCAGCCTGAGGAGCAACGACCTTATCACTGCTGTTGCAGCCTCTAAGGTAACAGAACTCCCACCATGCGCATGTGCATGTTTGGGGAAATTTGCTCCTGGAACAACACGATGATCAGGCCCACCAATGGAGGGAGGGGGCAAAAGGGGCAACTGCCCCAGGGCCCAGCGATACAAAAGGGCCTGGAGCTTCCAGCCACTGCCTCTGCTGCTGTGGTAGCAGCAGCGGCCAAAGCCCTGGGTCCATTGAATTGCTGCCGGAGCGTCACGCAGTGTGCTCTGGGCAGCACCGAGGGCTTCCTGAGAGAAGCACGGTGCACTCTGGACAGTGTGAAGGGCTGCCTAACCCCAATCCCGCCCTTTCTGTCCAAAGGGGACTTCTGGGGGCATGGAGTAGCCCCCCCCATCTTGCCATGGGGCTTGGAAAGGCAGTCGGCCCCGCTGACAGTGATGATGGGAGTTTGTTACCCCACAATTTAGACCTCAGGCATTCCAATAATGATTTGCCTCAGACTATGCAATTTGTGTATCGAAAGGGGTTAATAAGGTAATGGTCTCCTTAAAAGGGTCTATCAGAGTATTACCAGGGGGCTTGTCTCTGACCCACAGAGGGCTCCGCACAGCAAGCTAATCTTGCTAACCTTTGAAAGGACACGGATACAGCCTTACACTGAAAGGATTGACAATCAGGCAGAGATTCTTCAAAATCAAAGGATTTTTTTTTTAAAAAAGGATAATCTGTTACATTGAATTCAGTAAAATGAAACAGAATACATTATACAACATAAGAAACATTATTAGCGCTTACTCAGAAATCATACGTTAAGATGGCACATCAGACTAAAAGTCAGATTCCATGGAATATTTCTATATTGGATATAGAGACTATAACAGATACAATGTAACAGTAGAGACACACAGAGGGCCTGCATGTGTATGTACAAAAGCCCATAATGCAATGCTGCTCTTGTTATCGGATCTAGTGCCCTACCAAATCCACAGCCATGCCAAATGTGTATGAAATCTGGCCGTTGGTGTGCTTTTCCCAGGTATTATACAGATTTCACGGAGACCAGTGTTTCTCAACTTGGGGTGCTGACCCACTCAGAAACAAGCATCCTTCCAGCTTTATTGACAGACACACCAGGCACTCCTTAACAGGAGATAGGAAAATCACACTTATACTAACACCCAAAATCCCTCTGACTCATGTGAGGGTCCTTCTGCTTTGTCAGTATCAGAGAGAATAGCCTCAGCACTTGGAGATAATGGTTGCTGCTGCCTTTGGCAGGTGTGACAGCCTGTCTCAGGAACAACAGAGGCTGGTGTGGTAGTGGTGGTTGTCTTTACAGTTTTTCAGTGGCTAGTATCCTAACAGCCCTAAAAGCTGCTGCCTTCTAGAAGGTTCAGTTGATGTCGCTCCTGCAAGCTGCGTTAGAAGCTGCTGCCTTCTGGAAGGTTCTGCTGGTAGCTGCTTCTTGGCCTACAGAAACCACACACTGTGCCCTACACAGTACTAGTCAACTGCTGCCCTTATGCCTGACTTGCTCTTAGCAATACAAACATAAGCTTACACTGCTGGAAAACTTGCCACATTACAGGGCTCTGATCTGATAATAATGTTCTCTTGCTAGCAACATATTCATGTTAAAAGTTGATTAGTGGCAATACTGTAAACTGCTTTCATGCTTGGTTCACCCCTGGCCTGCTGGTCCAGCTACAGTAGGGGAGATAGATGGAAAGGTGTGGAACCCCAACATCCATTTCTTGGGGTGAAGAGTGGCAAAAGCTGCAGCAAGCCCTCAGTTCAGGTCACACTACTGGGCACCGTCACCAGCACCATAGTGGTAGGTTGTCTGTGTCTCACAACTATATAGAAGTGTTGTAAGCACAACTGCCCAATAGACATGTAGCTTAAAGCATGTTGTGATGCCTCTATCATTCTGTAGGTCTCTTTCAGTTTTCTTTAAGCTAATTCTAAAACCAAAATGGCTGACTTCATGAGCAAAGTGGTCAGTCACAAACCGAGTGTCATCGAGTGAGCTACCAGTCATCAGCAAATAAAGGCTTCTTAATGAGTAAGTCTGTCATTTTCATGTCAGCATGGAAGCATTTCACACTAAAAAACTTCCCTGCAGTCCACAATTGGATAAATACTTCTCTGTCAAAGCCATGAAATTCATGCATAAACATAACTGAAAATAAAGGATGGAGAAGAGTGTTTGGTGCCATGAGGGACTAGATAGGGATGTGATGCTTTGCTATTTTCCAGCACTCTGGCCATCATCTCATTATGGAAAGACCAAATGACAGGCATTCACTGAGGAGGGCATCCAGTGATAAACAAAATGTTGACAGAGTCCCTCATGGTTTACAGAGGTATACCAAACATCAAATGAAGACCCGTGGTTTGCTCCTAGTACTTTTCCTGAGGCTGACAGGATGTGCGGATCATGTCTACAGTGCCCTATCCAGACCAAAGTCCATGCCGAGACTCCAGGAGGATGGTTTCCACAAGACAGTGTTAAGTTATTGAGTATGAATTTTCCCACTAAAAATGCCACGATTATCACAGTTTGCTCTACCACTCTTACTTTTACAGAGGTGATCAATGTTGACATTCTTGAAATTCTATAGCACCAACTCTTGGTCCCAGGTATTATGGAAGAGACAATTGAAGTGTCTTGCAGTGTGGTAGCCACCCTGCTTATAGAGATCTCAGCTGGGATGCCACCTGGTTCATCTGCTTCTTTTTTGACATTTGCTTGATTGCCATAACAATCTCATGAGGGGAGGGCTAGTGCAATCGCTTCTTCATGGAAGTTGGAGAAGAACATTAATTGCTTCCTCAGAAATGTTGCAAGGGAGATTGAGAAGGAAACTGAAATGTTCCATCCATTGGTGAAGTATTTCTTTTTTTGTCTATTGAGCCCATTTTCATCCAGGGACAATACAAGGGTTACCCCATTGCACTCGGAGACATACACAGCAGAGAGCCCAGCAAAAAAGGTTTTGATCTTTTTATGTTCTGCTGCCAGTTGTAGCTCTATACTTTCTTTTCCCGCCACTCATTTTTCATTTGCCATAGTTTGATCTCAGCCATCTTTTTGGCTCAATACTCTGCATCTTCCTAGCTGCTGAATCCTTGTCCACTCTGTAAGTTCTATACGTAATTCACTGTGAGTTCAAGACCATTTTTATCAAATCCACTCTGATTTTTCCTCTGAATAAAGCCAAGAACGTCAGCAGCAATATTATATGTTGTGTCCCAAAAATGTTTCCAAGCTGTCTCTTCACTCACTGAGACTTCTGTAATTGAGGAAAATTCTTTCATGAGTTTCTGTTGGATCTTAAACTGTTTGTCGGAGTTTTCTAGGCTAGAAATTTGATTTTCTTCACAAGTTTGAGTTATTCTCTATGTTGCTTGAGATCTATATAGAGGAATATTTCATTTCTCACAAGTCTATGGTTCTGACTAGCAGTCAGGCCTCTCATGACATGAGGGAGGCAGACCTCCCTGAGATCCCTTCACATACAATAAAACAGTGTTTCTCAACCTTTTTTATAAAAACCCGTTTAAAAAAATTATAAGTACCCCCAGTACCTACAGTTTTCAGATACACAATCTTTTTTCTACCATTGCAACACATTTATTTCAACAACTTAATCGTAGCCGGGCGGGTGATGAAATTTTTGGGTGTAAAAAGTACAAAAAGAATAAAACACTGTAAAACTTAAAACAAAATTCAGTTTTCTCCAAATTTCAGTTGTGTTAACGTACTCCCCAGACTTCTCTTGAGTACCTTATGGGTACTCCTACCACTGGTTGAGAAACACTGCAATAAAATAATCAAACATATGACAGTGATTTGACTGACGGAGT